AGAGAGAGAGAGAGAGAGAGAGAGAGAGAGAGAGAGAGAGAGAGAGAGCTGAAGAAGACAGGCTAGCCATGCCTTCCTCAGCTGAAGAAGATCATTGCAGTTTTGAAGCTAGATTCACACACATTCCATTCAAATTCATGTAGGGAAATCTTCCTGGCAAATTTCTGCACACTAAGATGCCTCTGAGAGTACTGCTCAGCTCCCATGATCCCCTTGTTGTGAGTAGTACCAGGGGTGTCCTGCAATTCCTGTTACTCAGGATAAGTTTGAGCCAGCTGTCTCCACACCACCCATGTATGCATCCCTAGCCTTCACTCATTCCAGCTGTTACGATATGTTGTGATGATCAACTGTAAATGTCAATATTCCATGACAGAATCACCCAGGAAGAGTCTTAATTGAATAATTATCTTAAGCGTCTTGCTCTTTGGGCATGCCCGTGGAGTTGTCGTAACTGGGGTGGAGCAGCCACCCCAGGCCAGCCCCTCAGTGTATGAGTGAAGAGACCTGGTTGAGCAGGCAGGTAGCATGGGTGCGTTCCTTTCTCTCCACTCTTGACTGTGGATGAGATGAGAGAGGCTGCTTGATTTCAGTGTTTCCTCCTGTGAAGCCGGAACTGTAGCCCAACTAAGCCGTGTCCTGCCGCATGTTGCTTTTTGTTAGGATATTTTATGACAGTCACGGAAGTGAAAGTATCTGTTCCTCTCTATCTCCCATGCCTCGTGTGGTCTGCTTTGATAACTCTTCTTCCTGTTTTGTGCATCCCACCCCCTCTCCGTCTCAGATCATCCTGACACTCCTCCTCATTTTACTGCATAGTATTAGTGATGCTGATTAGTGCTTTTCCTCTGCTGGCTAGGATTCTCTTCTCTAAAGCATGGGAAGCATTCCTCCTTTTCCTGTTCTTCTGCCACAGACCTCTGTACCACCATCCAAGCTCTTCCTTGAATCAGGTTCTTTATGTAGAATGCCCACTCTCCAGCTCCTCCCAGCAAACTGCCCTCCCCACTTTGGTGGATACCATCTTTTATGTTCATTGTAGCCTTTTCTGGTCCTTAGACACACATTATCCTTTGCATTTAAATGGGGATGGCATTATTTTTAGCTGGCTCTTTCAGAAGCTGCACGATGTCAGATTACATTTTCTTGAGTCAACATTCTACATCCAGCATCTGGTACTGAGTTGACTAAAAAAATTCAGCCTTGAGCCTCAAATGAATAACACTTGAGCCTGTCTCAAGTGAGTTCGGCATCACCTGACAAATAAATGATTCAATACTGGTTACAGTTTTTTTCCTTATAGTCATCAAATTCTTCCACACTATAAATTTCACTAGGTTAATGGTTTACTTGAATTTATTCATTTGGGGAAAGTTTGATGATACAAGTTACAGGGTAAGAGATATGGAAGACATAAAACCTCACAAAATATAGAGCTGGGACAATCAAACATATTGAATCCTGAATAAAAATACCCAAAATTGGTCTGCAGTGATGAGTTACAACCTCTCCATTACTGTCTTCTCACCCATCGGCCACCTCTTCCAAGTGGGAAGACATGCATGAGATGTCAAGAAGGACTCCGCCATGTTGGTGTCCAAGAAAGGGACATTGTTGCTCTTGGTGTGGAAAAAAATTAGTTGCCAAGCTGGAAAATGAAAGGACAGTATGGAAGGTCTGTGCTTTAGAACATAATGTCTGCATGGCCTTTGCAGGCCTCACTGCTGATGCAAGGATAGTCATCAACAGAGCCTACATAGAGTGCCAGAGCCACTGGCTGACTGTGCAGGATCCAGTCACTGTGGAGTACATCACCTGCTCCATTACCGGTCTGAAGCAGCACCATACCAGAGCAGTGAGTACAGGTCATTTGACATCTCTGCCACCCCCAGACTATCAACCTGAACCCTTGGGTACATACCATGCTTGGAAGGCCAATGCCATAGGCTGGAGCACCAAGTCAGTGCATGAATTCCTGGAGGAAAGCTACACAGATGACGAGACAGATTATCTGACCATCAAACTGGTGACCAAGGCACTTCTGGCAGTGGTCCAGTCAGGTGGCAAAAACACTGAACTTGCTGTCTTGAGGCAGAATCACCCCCTTAATATTCTAAATCCTGAAGAATTTGAAAAGTTTGTTGCCAAAAGAAAGAAGAAAGGAGAAGGAGGAGGAGGAAAAGACGAAACAAAATAAAGCATCTTGATGAAGTGAACATTGATTGGTTGGAGCAGCTTTCAGCCTCAGTAGTGTGGGCCTCTGTCTACTTGTCCAAGAGCTAAATAAAGATCTACATTTTTTAACTTAAAAAAAAAAGCCTAAAATTATGACATGCATCCTGATGTAGTATGGTAAGGAACATTGTGTACAAGTAAAATGTTTGCCCTGACCATGGAGAAAAACAAATGTCCGGGCACAAGTCACGTTAGCTAGCAGTGTTGGAAAAGAACAAATAGCGATGCACATTGTCTCTGCAAAGAAATGTGTGGGTCTTTAAACTTTGTATTGATTCATTCTAGATTTCACATAATGCATCCCAATCCCACTCATCTCCTTGTTCCCTTGCATCCTCCCTCTGTCCTTGCAACCTCCTCCCCCAACCCCCCAAAATAAACCAAAACAAAATTTAAAAGTGTAGTCAAACCAACCAACCAACCAACCAATCTGGGTGTGGAAGCTGTAGTGTGGCCCAGTGAGTCACACAGTATACCCATTAGTCCACACATTTTCTACTTGTAAATGTTCATTGCTGCAGGTGGGAAAGCCGGCCTCTGAGGCATGTGAAGGAAGAGCTCCTGTCCCTCAGCAGCTGCAGCAATCAATAGAGGCAAGCCATGCTCCTTACCAGGGCAAAACAGTAGAGCTGGCCCTGGTGGTGGGAGCGGGAGTGTGCACATGAGGTGATTCCAAGGGCGGGAGAGCATGAGAATTGGTCCTGTTTCTTGCTGCCTGCTGCACTGGGTCAGCTAGCTGGAGCAGTGCTGGAGACCTCACCCTGGTGGTGGTGATGAGGCAAAGCTGGCTGGCTGATCAACCTAGCTACGACCCACGCCCAGAACCAAACCTATAAGTTACCCCACTCCAATATCCACATCATCCATGAACTGCTGGAGTGAGAAATGTGTTTGAATGGAGTTTCCTCCACTACATTCGTCCTTGTAAAGACATTTGTAATCTAGGTGCTGGTTTCTTCATTTGTAAAATAGTGACAATAAAAACTTCTGTACAGGACTGCTATAAACACCTTGGAAATGTGGACACTTTTTCAGCAAATGCAAAGCAGCACAGAAAAGTCATTAAGACGAGAAGACAGAGATAACATAGAAGACTGAACACCAGCTGAGCCCTGGGAGTCAGAGGGTGGAGCAGCAGCAGCAGCAGCAGGCACAGAAGCAGATGCAGTGAGATGCAGAGATGTAGATATGCATTTGATGCTTGAACTTCTCTCTCCTTGACATTGTTTCTAGACATATTAGGCTTGAGAGCGAGTTCATTACCTCTTTTCTAGTAAGTTTATGATGATTGCTACAGTCTAAAGAACACATTGAAAATATAAAATCCATAACGTATCACCAAATTCTCTTCATTTAGTGTCTCCTAATGTATTATAAATGATTTATTGATAGTTTCTAAATGAAAATTGAAAATTTTGGGGTTGCCAAGATGCCTTAGTGGATAAAGGTACCTGCCACCAGGCCTGATGATTTCACTTCAATTCCAAGGATCCACGTGGTAGAAAGAGAACAGACTCCTGTGGTTTTTCCTCTAACCTTCACAGGCATGGCGTAGTGTGAATGCACACACACACACACACACACACACACACACACACACACAAATGTAAAAAATAAAGACTAACTTTAAAAGTTTTAGTTTAACAACAATGAGAAAATCCATAGGGAAGCACAAGTATTAATCACAATAATTTTAAATTGTTACACTTTGAACAGATACTTACACACTTAAAGAAACAAAAATTTTTCAAGAATGTGTGAAAACAGGCAGAAGGGTGTGTATTTTACAATTTAAATTTACAAAAATGCCTTTATCTTAAGAATACTAGGCTGAGGAAATGGTTACATTTGCATTTTATTTTTCATGCATTTTTACAGAATTGCCACATATTGTATCTGTCCCACCACATGAGATTCCCTCCATGAACATCTACAACTAAGAAAATGGCTCTAAAACACAGGAATGTCAATAAAAAGACATCAAGTTCATTACATCTAAGGTTCATTCTGGGTACTTAAATGATTTATTAATTGTGGGGAACTCACTCTGGGTTATGGGCCCTGTTTTCCTGTAAACTCTAGAGCGAGAGGGCTTATCTGCATTGTATTAAGAACCTTGGGCCAGGTTGAAATCAAGATGAACTTTTCCCCTAATGGACAACTTCTTTCTACAGAAACAAATCAAGTAAGTATTTTTAGTTGCAATTAATCTAGGCATGACTAACATTTTTTTATTCCTTATCTGTAGACTAAAAATAAAGGCTCAGACAATGACACCCACCCACGTATCACATCTGGGCTGTGGTTGCTTCAGGAATGCAAGCAATGAAGTGATTCTTCAAGGTCTGACTCACTAGCAAGGAACTGTTACTAAAATATCTTAAACAGCATGGTTGTGGTAGACAAATGCCATGGGGGTCAGTTCCTGAGAAAATCCAGGGGTAAATTACATTGTTCTGTTTCATCTCTCTGTATTTTAAAAATTCTTTTAAGTCTTTGTGATGCCCTATGTAGGGGTCATTGTTTCGGTTTCCTGCCTGTTGATGCTGATGGTGAGAATGTGCCTTGATTGTGGTAAGAAAACTCAGGGGGAAGTGCTAAGTCTGAGCCAAGCTTTACGGTCCTCCCGTGTTTTCCTTTAAATCTCTGAAGCTTCCATGAGTGTCATGGACAGAACATTCTACTGAGAGGGTGTTTGGCTAAGGGTTGCAGATATAAAGAGAAGTTCTAGATCTAGCTTGAAGAAAGGAACCAGTACCATCCAAGCTATTAGAGGTTGATCAAACCCCACTAACTCCAGATATGAAAGAGAATACATTATTTCTAGTTTAAGCCACTGAATTTGGAGATGTTTGTTCTACAGCTCAATATGCTAACAGCTAAGATATACAAGAATAGTATGTTTCAAAATTTAAGACAGACAGGGCTATTGAAATGATTATTGGAAGAAAAATTTACACACCTTGGCCACAGCCATATTAAAAGTACAGATGACTGTGAGATCTGTGAGTGGCATATTCAAGTAGGTATTAACACCTCCTAATTTCATAAGTGCTGAAAACCCTCTTCAATGCTCTGAGACGTGGAAATGATTATTCTTCCCGACTTTCTACCTTAGTTAGTTTAGCAAACAACAAAAGCAGAATGTAACACACAAAGGTAAGCTTTATTAATAAAAGAAGAATGTTTCAAAGGAGGCTGTAACAGAAGACTTTATTTACTACACAGTAAGAATTCGGGATAATACAGAATGTATGTAGACTAAAATATACTGACTATATTCATCTTGCTTCATTAAAATAGTTACACAAAGGCAAGTGCAGAGTTTATATCCGCAGTGTGGATTCAGTTGATCACCTACTTTTTGTGTGCTTTAAAATTCTAACTTAATGGCCTCCCTCAGGACATTGTTTAAGATTAGTAGTTGATTGAACTTCCTTTGGAAGATCATTGCATTAATTTATGCAGTCTGAAAAGACTGGACAAACTGAACTGCTTCTAGAATAATGCTTTCATGATTATTGTTTAGAAGTGCCACATTACCATAGCCTATACTTTTTGTGCCACTCATAAGGGACAGATTTTATCCCTCCAATTTTTCTAACGTCTGTTTCCAAAACATGTGGTCCCAACCATATGATAAGAAAGGAACAAGCTGACCTTAAAGCTTACAAAAATAAGTGACATGATATTTTATCTTAGTTCCTGTGACTTCTATGTTAAGCCAAAATTTAGCACATATGTCTGACAAATATGTACATTTAGGTATATATACAAACACACACTGGAATGTGTAGTCTACTTTTGGTCTATTAAAATCTCCTGGATTCCATTGGGTAATGAGTATATAAAGTGTAAAGATTTTCAGTTTATTTTCTTGAAGGCTTGTTGATGTATATTTTCAGATAGTCAAGAAGTGAAAAATATGGGACAACTTTTGCCCAAAGAAATAGAACATAGATACACAAACCTTTGAATTGGCAACCACAGCCAATTCTGTGGGAACTAATGTAATAAAATGGTTAGTCGTTTCGGGTGTGTGTGGGTTCCCCAGAGTGGAATGCCCCACTTTTTAAAGTTTTGTATATAATTAAAATTCTGATGCAGATACGACCTCAAGTATTTTCTGGTAAAAGGTATAATTAAGTAAAACGGCAAGATAAGCAAGAGTTCTGCCAGCCACCTCTCCCCTGCCTCTGTCTGCACTCCCAGCTTCATGGCCCCTGCTCACTGCAGCTCCTTGTCTGTCTGCCTGTCTGTCTGTCTCTCTGTCTCTGTCTCTGTCTCTCAATTGATTTATTTATTTATTATGCATACAGTGTTCTGTCTGCACATATCTCTGCAGGCCAGAAGAGAGACCAGATCTCATTACAGATGGTTGTGAGCCACCATGTGGTTCCTGGGAATTGAACTCAGGATCTTTGGAAGAGCAAGCAGTGCTCTTAACCTCTGAGCCACCTCTCCAGCCCTCCTTGTCCCTCTTGATCTCAGAGTTTCATCATGTTTTTGTAATTGAGGCTTTTTCCTGTTCATTCATTTACCACAGATAGATTCACAGGACCATCTTCAAACACTCCTACTGGGAGGCATTGAAGAAGTGTTGATTTTGAACACCTGGGGAAAGAGCATTGGCGATTTAGCAAGAGGCCTTACTGTAGTATATAAAAGCGTGATATTGATCCATTCTGATAAACTACAACATTTCTCTGAGTGTCCAGGCCTAATATCACATAAAGACAATCTTGTGCTAAGAAACACATTATGGAGCCATAAAGTTTAAGTAAACGTGGTGTGGAGACACAGAGCTCAGTGCTTCTGATAATGAAATCTTACTTTAGTCACAAGCTTCCACATGTAGTTTTACAGGCTGGCAGAAAGACTATTGCATTTGATATGCATCACTGGGCTTCTTTTAGGAGCAATTAGCAATTTCCCTGTACGTATAAAAGTCAAATTACCTCTAATATTAGCCATATTTTAATGTATGAACCCAGCACAG